AAAAAAAAAAAAAGAAAGGTAAAAGGAGACAGGGTCAAACTACTGAGAATATGTTTTACTTAACCCAGTATATCCAAAATATGATTTCAACATGTAGTCCATATAGAAAAGAAAGACACATTTTACATCCTTTTATGCTGCCTTTGAAATCTGGTATTTTACACTTCCAGCACCATCTCGTTCAGAAACTTTCAACAGAAATAGTTCTGTTTAGCTTTCCTAAAATGTGTTGTTGGAGAAATGGATCCACGTCCCCAAGTTGTCCCACTGATATTGAACGGTCTTCCAGCAACGGAGACGTGTATCAATTTTTAATGAAAAGTAAATGAAATCTAAAACTCCCTTTCTCAGTGCCACGAACCCCGTTTCCAGTGTTCAGTAGCCACATGACCTGGAACACTTGCACTATCCCAGGAAATCCCATTAGCATAGCTCCAGGGTCAGACAGCCCTGCTGACATTGGGGTGACCTTGGGCAAGTCCCTGAGCAAGTGGCATCTACCTCACAGGGTAACTAAGAATAGTGTGTGTACAGATGTGCAGCCCTCTGGAGAAGCCTGGCCCGCTGGGAGCTCAAATGTGAGTCTGGTCCATGCCTCCAGCCCCAGGCTGAGCCGACTCTAGTCTAGGCGCCTGTCTCACACCCAGAATGCCTTTGCTCACAGAGTGCCCTCTTTCTCCCACTCTCACCTGTCTGACACCTGCCCTGTGCCTCGCTACTCCAAACTCCCTCTGCCCCATGCCAATGGGGATCGTGCCAGAGATCCTATCTGAGGAAGCAAGACCCAATTCCGTTTGCCTGTGTCTCTGTCGGGGAGTGCTGATTGTGTCTGTATCATCGTGTATCGCCACGGGTTGGGCGTCGTGACTAATCTGGAGGGTGGTTGTCTTTTAAATTATGACTTTGGGTGGGAGGCGTAAGGTGGCCAGTGAGGCATGTGTCCCGGGTAGCATCCAAGCAGAAAAGACCAAGACTCCCTTGAGAACTGATTGCTGGCTCCCCGTGGGGCGTGTCTACATCCTACTTCTGGCTGGAAGACCCTCGAAGGCAAGAATTCAAGGAAATGTATGCTGAGTCTTGGCGTTGCCACTGCCAGCAGCAGAAAAGGCACAAAACAAAAAACTTGAAGAGACAATCTCATCACCTTAGCTGAGTTTCAGATATTTCTGGGTTATGATGAAGACACTTGTATCCATTGGGGTGGGGAACCGTGGAGGGCTAATCAAGGGTGTGGTTGGCCTGTGGTGCTTTCTTGCAGGAGTGAATAAAGACGAGTAGAAATCCCACTGTGTTGTCTCTCCTTTGAGGGTTTGAAGGGGTAGGAAGATGCTTGGGATTTCGCCTGGGTCTGAGGAAGGGGCTGGAGATAGTACTGGGTCTGACGGAGAAAGGGACCAAGGGTGGGGACTCCTGGGCCCTGGGAGAGGAGGGATGGTGAAGGTCTGTATGGGAAAGAACCCCTTGAGCTGGAACCCAAAGACTCATGTGCCTGAGTTTTGCCACCCTGGGAGTGGGGGAGAGGAGAATGGAGGTGGAAAAATGACATTTAGACCTTAGGAGCTTGTGACGGTAAAGCATCCTAGCTCTGGAAGCAGCTTGGCCCATTAATGCCTCCAATTTGTTCAGCTTCTTTGTAGCTGTGTCCTTGCAGAGTCCGTTCTCTTGACTCGAAACCTGGCCGTGTGATTTGCCTGACCACAGGAACAACAGCAAACGCGATAAAGTAGAGGCTTAGAAAGGGCTCACATACAGGGGTTCCTCTCTCACCGCCCTTAGAATCCCTTCCGCCACTGGGACACCAAGTCCAGGCTAACCTGCTGGGTGAGTAGAGGCCAGGTGACCCAGTCAGCCTTGACACCCCCACTGCCAGCCAGCCAACCCTCTGAAACCGAGCTGCCAAGCCGACAGGAGCCGCACCCAGCAGAAGAACCACCCAGCTGATCCCAGACCAAATTGCGGAATCATGAGCTAAATAAAAGACGATTGATTGTTCAAAGCAACAAAGTTTTGGAGTGGTTCGATGTATAAAGATACAGCCAAAGATCACCGATGCGGGCTTTTTCCCTCTGTGCTGTGGTCCCTTCTCCCCCTCAACACGACCCGATGATCAGATCTTAAGCTCTGCCACTTTGTAGTTGGCGTGTAACATCCCGCGTCTGAGCCTCAGATTTTTCTGAAAACAGAGCCGAGAGTAACAGTCCCTATATCACAGGGAGTCTTTATGAAGAGAAAATGAGAAACACCTGCTAGGGGGCCGTGACAGCTTTGTGCCTTTTACAAAATATGTCCACACTGGGGAGCGACTTCCTAGCCCCCCGTGGGGCTTGGGGGCCATGTGATTAGCTCCATCCCATGAGTTGTGTCAAGTCATTTCTGGGTCACGGCATTTCATCACCCGTGTGAGACTTTTCCGGTGCACAGAAATCAGCAACGCTCGAGCTGGAGGCTGCTCTATGATTACCATGAGCAGAACACCCCGTGGACAGTGCTAGACATGGGGGGTCGGAGGGAAGCGAGTATTTGTGAGTGGGACTTGTTCGACAAATCCTACTCTTCTCCCTCCCACCGGAAGGGTAGTACACCTCCTTGCCTGGTTGATGTTGGCTTTGACCACAGGATTGCCTTCAATCAGTGGAATGTTAGCACACCTGACCTCAGCAGGGGCTTTTAATGCACTTGGTTACTGTGCTCCTGTGCCTGCTGTCAGAGCGTTAGCCAGGGAGCCACTGATCCCAGAATTTGAATCCTCCCCAACTGGAGCCAAACCAGCTAATACAAGGCCAGAAGCAGAGCTACCCCAGCCACCCACAAACCCTCAGCAGAAAGCATGCTTGTTGTTTATGGCTCGGTTTGGGGATGGTTTGTTACGCAGCGTTACTCCAGCATTAGTCGACTAATACAACTTGGTTGCTTTAAACCACTGAAATTAGGGACTTGCGTGTTACTGCAGCATACTGATTGATGACAGTGCTTAGCACCTTCCAGATAATGGGCACTCATTAAGAAGCAGCTGTTCCGATGATTATTATTTACAGATGTATTGTTTCCAGAACCGACATTGTCATAAAGGTGCCAGGCACTGCACTAAGTGCCTTTTTTGCTTTTCTTTCATTTGATGCAACAACCCAATGAGGTTATTACTATTAATACCCACATTTTGCAGATGTGAAAACAGGCAAAAAGAGGGAGAGGGTTAATCAGGAGAGATGATCATGGACTCTGGGGTCTGACCCTCCCTAGAGGTTTGCCCCAAAACAAATGGCCACACAACCCGTGCCTCAGTTTGTTCATCTGTAAAATGGGGATAGTAATATCAAGTTCACACAGTCGTTGGGGTTATGAAATGAGGTACAGCACGGAGAACACTGCACAGGGGCCCAGCAGGGAGGAATCCTGTAATAAATGGTGGGATCTTCTCTCCCTTCCTTGCAAAGAGAGGGTTCGCAAGGGTTAAGACCCTTGCTTTCTGCACCCTCGCTTCCTGAGATGCAACACATCACAAGAACTCGGGCTTGCTTTGTTAACCTGTTTAATTTATAGGCACATGGGCAGGTGTAGACTGAGGACAAAGGGAGACTTCAAGCCACATGATCCTCAGCGCTTTACTCCGCCCTGCTAGGGGCCTGGCGGGCTGGAAGGCAGTCTGCTCGGCGGAGGAAGTACAGATAAGAGGCTGAAGGCACCTGCGCCCCCGCCTTGGCGAAGCAGGCACTCTCCGTAGCACAGCCCCGAGTGGCAAATTTGGGGGTGATGAGACCTGGGAAGGGGGTTTCAGAATGGAGTCGGCCCCTAACTCCTCCTTCCTCATGACCCCGTCCTCCCTCCCCCACCCCTGTCCTCACCCAGTAACCTGGAGCCACCATCTCCCCTAGAGCCTGGAAGCATGGGCCTCCAGTTCTGGGGCCCCTGCCCCCTCTAGAGATCCGGGTTCCCCTCACCGGCCTGCACGTTGCCAGCGAAGTAGACGCAGTGGGTTTCCTGGCCAACGCAGCGGGCTGCCTGGGTCCCGGGGCATGTCTCCTGAAAGGGCGCGATGCAGGCCGGGCACTGGAGGCCGTTCTCCGTACGATTGTTCTGGGGAGCTGGGGATGAGTGGCGCGTGAGAAGCAGGGGGACGATTCAACCCTTCCCTCACCTCACAACACCGCTGGGGAACACGGGTTGCCAATGGATGACGGACACTGCATTTGGCCGTAAGGAAATCGGGTCGCAGCAAGCAAGTTGCCCCGATGCGGGGCAGAGCACACACCGCGGGCTCTTGGGGCGAGCTGGAAGCGACTCCCGATGCGGGGCTGGCACTTACGGGGCACCGAGCCCTGGTTGCAGCCGTCGCTCTGGCAGCAACGCGTGTTGGACACCATGTAGTCCTTGGGGCCCATCGTGGTGGACACGAATCCCGAGTAGCAGTCGCTGTACTTCATGCAGGCCTTGTAGGTGTTCACCGCGTGGCGGCCCTCTGAAGGACGCGGGACAGGAAGGGAGGGCTCCGGCAGCGCCCGCTGACCCCACTCTGGCGTGGACCCCGGCCTCGGGGTCTCTCCCAACCCCCGCCACTGCCTAGAGTGGTCTCTTCCGGCGCCCCAGAGCCACGCCCCTTTAGCTACCCGGGATCCGGTCTGGATCGTTT